AAAAAAACGCTATGCGTCGCCAGGTGTTTCATCGGATTTGAGGTGTTACCTCCTTTGACAGCATCACAGTATCAGCTTAAAAAATAAAATTAAAATAAATAAAAAAAAAATTATAATGGATCCTTTTTCAATGAACTCCAATTTCATTCGCATTCTTCATTATTGAGTTATCGTTTTAAGCATGTAACACTTTTTAAAACAATGTAAACTTATACAATTCTTTAAATTATAATGAAGAGAGTTCCACAGTCATAGCCCTAACCGTTGGACTCATTAATCTTTGTGTTGTCCTAGCTAACTGATGCTTAAAATAAAATTTCCTTCTGCTGTCTTCTCCCCCCGAACACATTAAAAATACTCTTTGTAACTTAAAGGGCAAAATATTATTTTTAGCTTTAAACATAATTAATAGTGTCTGTAATTTCACTAAATCTCCTAATTTTAAAAATTTCGATTTTATAAATAATTTATTTGTATGTTCTCTATATTTAACATTATGAATCATTCGTATCACTGTCTTCTGTAATAAGTTTAGAGGTTTTATAGTATTCTCATATGTATTCCCCCAAACTTCCGCACAGTAACTAAAGTGTGAGAAAAACAATGAGAAATATAAAATGCGCATTGTTTTATAGTCTAATAAATCTCTAACATTTCCCAAAATATAAATGTTTTTAACCATCTTCTTTCTAATATACTCAATATGTGATTTCCACGTCAAATTTTCATCTACTATTACACCCAAAAAACGAAATTCAGTAACTCTATCAATCAATTCTCCATCAATGGACATAATAACTTCTTCCTCCTTTACATAACTGCCAAATATCATGAATTTCGTTTTTGTCGAATTCAAGGATAATTTATTTACATCAAACCATATTTTTAATCTTAACATCTCAGAAGTCATAATTTCAACCAAATCTTTCAAATTCTCTCCAGAGCAATAAAAATTTGTGTCATCTGCAAATAAAATAGAATTTAACCTTTTTGATACGTCACAGATATCATTAATATATAAATTAAAAAGTTTAGGTCCCAAAATAGAACCTTGAGGAACGCCACATACAATCTTCAATCTTTCAGAGGTGTTGCTGAGATAATGTACATATTGCGACCTATTTTCTAAATAACTCCTTAACCAATTCAATGCCACTCATCTCACACCATAATTATACAATTTAGAAATCAAAATATGTTGTAACGTGTCAAAAGCTTTTTTTAAATCAACAAATACCCCAACTGTATATTTATTAGGGTTCTTAGGGTTGTAGTGAGATGTTCTGGCTTTGTGGAGGGCTTTTTTTTTCCTTTCTTTTTTTTTGCCTGTCCCATTTGGCTCTTTTACCATCAGAATTATTGTCTAAAGGCAAAGAAAGATGCCCAACGGATTTACTTTACCAAATTGACCGTCCCAGCCTTTCCATAATGGTCCATTTGATTCAACTTTTATTGTTTATTTTATTTTCACTTGCTGAATACGGGACAGACTTGACTGGGGGAAAGAAAGGGAAAA